GTTTCCAATACGTATATAATTTGTACGATGTTTTAACTGTTATTTTAGTCTTATTTTGACGAGTTTTCTTGTTTAATTTGAAATTTTGCAAACTACTTTAAACCATTACCTATGCACCATTGAAGGTTGTAAAATATTGTGTACTGCTTATAACAACCTAGATCTGTGTTAAAAGTTTGAATCTATTGAAACACACTATAAACAATGTAAACATCGACTTTTATAGAATGTCAGGAATGATAGATATTTGACAGTATTTAATTTTTCAAATCTTTGCAATATTCAAGAACATTTATTCAATACTTTACCCTAAATTTCTAAAATGTCACAATTCACTGACTTATATTCATAGCATTTCAAGGTATCTGGATTGTTTCCAACAGCAACACAATTTGTTGGGAATCAAGAGAATAATACCAGCCGAGAATCAAAGAAATGATCTGTCATTTAGCAAGGAATGGTAAAAATGATCAAACCCTGTAAAGTGTTATACTGTAGTGATGATATACAGATGGCGAAGGACACCCCCGAATTATCAATAATGATTTCATCTTACCACATTCCAAGTCAGACGTGTTACACTGGAAGGTCCAATAGGTCAAAGTTCAGGTTATGTCTAATTCACAACCTTTGGAAAAAAATGTTTGTGGCCGACACTTAAATACCCTGTCGTTCATTTGATATATTTTACCGGTGACATGAAAAGGGGAATGATTACGCTTACTTCTGCAATACTTCATTTTGTTTGCCATATGTCCCAACTTAATTATCTTTCTACATTTTGAGTAAATATATGTTATTAAGAACATTTAGAGATTTATCACAAGGTGCATCTACTTTTATCATCGATCTTTGAATGTAATTCGTTGTTTTATTTTTTTTTTTTTTCAAATTGTTCAAATACGAGCTGAAAGCACATGTAAGATGATGTGTGTTTCTATAGCCAATAAAGGACCGTTGAGATAGGCGAGAGCAATGACTGAGTAGCCATTAAGATAAAAACATAGTCGGTTAGGAGATAATGATCACAATCGGAGGTTTACATCTCACGCGTTATATCAGCTGCACGTAACTAGAGACGACATATAGGGATCCTCTGGACTCGTTAAAGCGATAAATTAATTAGTTATATGATTGATAATCGACATCATCACATAACCTCATCACAAATATTAAAGAATCACCATTAACTATGTATATTGATGCTAACTTTCGTATTTGATGCATTTATTATCAAAAGTGTTTGAAAATACTTCAAATTACATCTTATTTTGTTTTTGATAAGTGATCAAATATCGATTCCTAACATTATTAGTGTGTAGGAGATGTCAATTGTGGTAATCAAAACTGCAACTCATGAGGAGACTACAAACTCGACCGATCATTCTTTAGGGATATTTCGTTGTATTGTTTTGATTCCGTCTTGTGTATGAATTTAGCCGTGCTGTCTCCCAATGCTATTTGAAGAGTACGTCAACAGATGGTGGGACAATTCAGTGGCACTTTTATATTCACACCACACTGAAATGACATTTTGATTGGCTCCCAGCCTGTCAATTTATACTTAACAACAGGCTAACCAGTTTGGTTGGTTCATAAAGCTGAATGTTTGCAAACTGAAGCACCGATCTGGGGACCATACAAGTAGTCCCACTGCACGAGTAGGAGCTCTACAGAAATATCAAAAGCAAAGCAGTGGGCGGTTAGTCATTAGGTAGCCAAAACATGTTTAAGGTGGAAGAGAAACTATCAGGCACTGCACAGAGCAGCAAGCACCTACCTTATTAACAGATATTGAGGACTAATCGGCATAAAATTGCTAAGTGTGAATTTTAAAACACAGAATTATTCTTCAAATCAACCTAATGCGAAATCTATCTCAATGGTATCTGATAGTGTATTTTACAACTCGACAAAAATAATGCTCAGCATGCTACTTCAGTAAAGTAAGAACAGGTTCCTTGTTTATAATTCTTTGTATTATGTTCCTTTGGTTAATTATAAACAATGTCACCCTAAACCCATGCTCTAATTCTGGTTATACTTACAACAGATTATCATTACATGGCTTCACGACTAAGAAAAATGTTGTTTTATAGTACTTCAGTTTCCTGCTGTGTCCAACAATATGTATTACTCTCGCGACTCTTAATTTGTGATGTTTTACTGTAAGATTGCCTGCACGCGCATGCAATGTTTTAATTCATTTGAATTGTGGCACGGTTCAGAATACACATGGACTTGGCGCTATTATGACATTGTCTGATATATGAAAATTACTCATTTAAATATGGGAAAGTGTAGTTTCTGATCTATAATTTCCTTTTGATCTCTTTTGCTTTTCCTTGGTCGGATCCAAGGCTTCAAAAGCTAGGCCCTTAGCGCCACTGTCTTGTTCGTAAAGGACAAAACAGCTGTATGATGCAGGTTAGTTCCTTGGCATTATTGTATCTACTCTAAATGTTATTAAAAGGCGCTATTCGCGTGTGTCTATTGTACTTTCTTGGAATGAAATAAAATGTTAATACTTGAAAAAAATATTTAACTTGAATATGCTTTCAGCAAACGAAACTATAATCTGACGAATGTCAAAATCAAGTATTAACTCTCTACGGTGGAAAGTAACAATCCTTTCTGCTGCAGAATAAAAACTGTTACAAATAGGATAAAGTCCAATAGGTCTAGGCATAGTAAAGATGTTTGTTTCATTTTCTCATAAACCGTCGTCTATATGAATGTTCATTTCATCTATTTTGAAACAATTAAGCTCCCAGCACCGCAGATTACATTACAATCTTTCTACCGTTTTAATTAACACCCAAACGATGTGCACTTTTCAGTCGCTGATGTCGTTTTATTGTTAAGCCCACTGGAATATGATCTATGATGTATATGTGTTTACGAGTTCATGATATTATATAGCTGCTACTCCTTTCGCCTAGATACAGACATAATGACGCCTGTAGACAATGCTGTTGTTTTCCTCTGGGATTGAAATAGAAAACGCGAATGCAATTTAATTTAATTTCCCGTTTATAGGCAGATGAATGTCATCAGCACTTTCTTAATTAGCGTAAAAAGATGTCGTATCTAAGAGAGGAAAAGAAGAATATATCAAAGTTCATTATACAATGTGTAGCGCGTTAACAGTACCGTGCAAAATGTACATTGTCTCACAAGCACCTCTTTACAGTTGAATACCAGTACTAATGACCATATCACCAGAAAAAATATGTAGTTAAGGTGAAAGTCTTTGTCTGCATTCATAAAAAAGACAAATAAATAATAATTAATGAACTTTTCAGTCTTCAAATCTTTCACCAGTAATTTATCGAAACGGTCTTGTATATAAACGGGGTAAACTGACTTAATTGAGTACAGAAAACCGTTCATTGAAAGACGTTTTTCCAGCCAAAAGAAGAAGGTGATTTCGACAGTTTTAGATCAGCTGTCCCTAGGGCAAGTTAACTGATGCCGTAAAGAGGGACCTTCGTCCATCCTTCACCAACTTTTCCAATTCAAAGACTACTCCTTAAAATACCAACCGTCCAGAATACTGATGATTGGTCGCAGCATGCGGAAAACGTTCATGTTTGTTCAATTGAAAGATTTTGTCCCACTTTCAAAGCCACTTTGGACAAATATCCAAACATATTCAAAATAATTGTTAATGACCAAATGCTCAAATTACCGACCTTGGCTTGCTTTCAAGTTAACAATTGTTGAATTTGTTAAGAACTAAATTGTCTTTTCGATAACTAGTAACCAATAGCTAGTAGATCCTGGGTCATGATATTTGTGAAGATGCATGCTGGAGAACGGTCTTTCAAATATTCAGCAATTAAAGTAATGTACCCACATAGCCTGTTGCTTGCTAATTTCATTGATAAACCTTGTTTTTTTTTCAACATAGAATTTATGAATATTAAATCATAGACATATATTGACACTAACCTGAATGCATTCAATTTTTGGACCTGTTCGATGCACTGGTTTCAGAAGAATGAATTTCTTCTTTATCAAAGTGAATCTTCCTACCTCTCTGCATTGTTATCCAGAAGAGGATTTCATTATTTTTTCTTTATTACTGAAGTATTCAGATCAACAGACTGTAGTGAAGATTAAATATAATGTGCATTATATGAAAAAAAAATGCATTATTATCTTTCACAACATTAAATTACATTGCAGAAACCGTGTCGGCATTTGCTGATAATAAACTGGTAATTCAATTCCTTGACGTTTTATTCCGATGAAATTGCTTGTAGCCATTCATAATTGAAAACATTTAAATCAGCAGCATGACTCCATCATTGTCGACAAGCACCTGTTTTTAAGTCATCAAATAAGACAAATTCACATTTGACATTTGCTAGTAACAGCATTCTAAACAGGTCGTTCGCGAGTTCTAACCATTTAGCATTGTATTGTACTGAAAGCAACATATTTCCATATTTTGCCTTCGTTTTATTGATTTTATGTTTGAATACGATTTTGATGACGAGGGTGTTTCTAGTTTCCTCTCAAAGTCTCCGGTAGGAAGAATCGCTTTTGACATTTGTGTCTACTTATGTTCTTCCAAGGAGAGAATGCTAATGGGTTCTGCTCCTTCGATATCAATGATATGAAAGCAATTAAATGTGGTGATGCCGCCCGATGCTTTACTTCAGCTTTAAATGTGCGGTAAGTTAGGACAGGTAAGTATGTTGTCGTTTTGATGCGACGTGATCTGATCCGTGCTGTTGTACTTTGAAATGACAATTTCGTGAAGGCAGGTTTATCTTATAATGGTGTCATATCACATGTAGTTTTTTTAAATGAATGTAATGTAATGACATTAATAAAATCTCTAAAGACAATTGTGCCATTTAAAGGACATCAGTTTCAACTGCGAATACAGTAAAAAAAATAGTTACAGGTCTTACATACTATTTCTGGCATGGAAACCTTAGTCACAAAGCAATTGATTTAGTCGTGAAAAATGTGACACAAACTCTTACCTGATTCTGTAGGGGCACAGTTTGGTTGTAGGAAGCATGCGTCACCAGGCAACGCCACGCCTTTCGGCCATTCAATACTGGAGAAAACTTTTGAGCACCATGCACTATTGCAGCCTTGCCAGATATGACGTGCCACTGAAAAATCTGAATCCGATATCCGGAAGTCATACAATGCAAACTCGAGGTATCTTGAGCATGATTCAACATCAAACTGTACCGATCGTCCTGAAAGGTCAGAGTTGACGACCTTCATTTCCGATGTCAAGGTCAATCCATTGATATTAGAAACAGATTTATTGTAAAGAGAGGAATATCCCTGAAAAATTGTGACGTATGCATCTTCTAATGCTGCAAATGACTTTGTCTGAACATGTGGAACAATTGTAGCACCACTTTCGTTTATATGAAGAACATTTGGCACCGTGGGAAAAAGCAAGAAAGTAGCTCCAAGAGCATCTGATATGTTTAAGTTCTGAGTAAGAACAGCTGAAATGTCCAGTATATTAGCGTAAGGATTCCGCACCAGTAAAAAGAAGCTATGTTGCGTCAGACCTGCCCACTGTTGAGCTGATTGTAACACTTTGTAAGCATCCTCTGCGTCCATTGCCAACACCACACCTGTAAAAGAAAAATGATATAATGATCTGATTCTCATTAGATTCACAATAGTTTAGTGATGATAAAAGTGAAAAAGCAAAACTACAAACTTGATATGCTCGATCATGCATTTAGATAATGTCAATGCCGTGACAATATATATATAATGTATTAATTACACAGTTTCAGCAATCTTATAAATACAAATGACCGGTTTTTGCTGGCCAAGAAATTGATATACATATAGTATATCTAAACCCGATATTTTAATTGAACTTTCCTGCCCAGTAGTGAACTTTAATAACGATATAATGAAAACGTGTTCCAATAGGTTGCATGTTTTGATTTGTTTATTAGTGGTGTATTACTGTAATCACTAACCATCGCTCATATTTCGAATTAACTAGGGTTATACGTTTCTGTGATAAAGCTCGGTTGCATATTAGTTTGCATATCATCATTGGATTGTACCCAGTGCGAGGAAACTGTGTGGAAATACATGGACGGACGATCAATTGGTAATCACCAACGGTCTAAGAGCCGTAAGGTCTCAGAATGAGATTGTATGACACGATCTTAAGTACAACGGACTTCTATTAAATAGGATTTATCGAGACGGAGAGTACACAACTAACCATATCTATCGCTGTATAACACAAGGTGAACTGAAATCATCTTCTTATCAAGTGGTCAACTCATTAGGGCGGCCTCTACAATTTCGTACGCAATCCTAGTCTGACTGCTTTATCGATGCTTTCCATTCCTCGTGCGAACTCGCGATAAAGAGATATCGACACGGATTTAGTTCAGCTGCGGATCATCCAGCCTTCCTACATTTGATTTTCGTGTTCTCAATATTAAAATAACAGGATTAATAACGTTTATGACTTAATGGTTTTATTTCAATTAGAAATTATTTCACTTGAATAATATTTAGATAAAAGAATTGAGAACGAATTACATTGCTTCTTAGTACCACACACACACACACACACACACACACACACACACACACAGACACACACACACACACACACACACACACACACACACACACACACACACACACACACACACACACACACACACACATATATATATATATATAAAACATAAAAGTCCCTTTTATTTTATTTACAAACAAATGTAAGTGATGCCGTTTGTCATTTTGTATCTTTGATGATGCAATCATATTTGGATTATGTATTCAGTACAGCCTTTCGGTGAAAAAACATTATGCTTTCAAAATTCATGAGCCTTAATTCTGATGATGCAATAATCAATCTCATCAGAGAATAACAATTTCATCAACTTGAAAACAAAACATGCTCAATCAATCATGATCATGCTTCGCATGACATTTTCTCAGAACAAAATTTTACAAAAATCTGGTAGCACTTTCGTTCATCGAGAAGTTGCATTGCGTATTTTAGTGTTTCTTGTTAGCACCGTTATTGGTATACGGGTACATGGGATACAAATGGAACGAATTTTCACCATTTATGCACATGGCTTAAAAGTCTAAAGAATAAGGCTTCTATATTCATTACACTTTGACGTGAGGAAATTCGAGCATCGATTTTATATATGCCAATTGTGCCAGAGGTCTTAACTAGCTTGCTATAGACACATGAGTTACATGTTATAGAACCTCTCAACGATGCTCATAAGTCAAACTGTTGAAGAGGGTTTAATTTCCGATAAATACTCAAGCATATCGTGAATATACCTACGTATTTAGCTGCTGTAATGACATTACATAGAGCACGTAAGTATGTGTTTGTTTAAAACCTCGGCCTTCACTAGAACGACATTCTTATTGAATTTCTCGTGCTTGCAAATTGTCTTCAGGAACAATAACGGAAGGTCAATATTTCAACAAGATCACTCTCCACAAATGTTTACATAATTGTCTTTGGATAACAATAAAACACCGAGCCATCTTGATAGCAATCTTGAATCTTTCCCACAATCTTTATCTACTTGCATCACTCAAATACCACAACATTTCCCTGAATGTAACCACAGCTATGTAAGGAGTATCTACAAAAATGTGTCTCCAAATAACAAAGAGGGTGAGATGTCGAAATGAGGAAGAGAGGGTCATTTATACTACTAATAAGTTATAATTTATTGTATTTTGCCCGACTTTTATCGAATATGAGTTTAGATAATGATTATGTTGACACGTTGGTAGTTTCTTGTTTTTTGTGAGGCCCATAGTAGCAAGAGGAGAGGATGGAGATCCTATTCCTTGTGAATTTCGGAAGTCCGCCAATGTTTTTTTTTAAAAAACAGTCCCTTATGCCTTCATAACATTAATTACTTCACGTCTGCTTTTTTTCGTGGAATCACACAGGGATCTACGTCGTGCGAGTTGGCTATTCCCACACGGACCACCATTTTAAGTTCCATCCGACGGACTGTGTGTTATTGGTTATTTGTAAGAAACGTGGTAATGCTTATATAATTTTGGTGTTAATATCTAAGTTTCTTTCCATATCCATCTGATACTCTGAACTGTTAACTTTAACAATGTCCATACTGCCTCTACACTCATACCGTTTCTGGCATCACAGAACTATCCACATTCCGAAGTTTATTTATTTTATATTGTATGTGATGATAAGTTCTTAAGGTAGTAAGATGCACCTGACGGGGTGACGAGCCTATAAAATACAGATGTTAGCCATGTTAGGACTTACGTGGGTGTATTGACTTTGTGGTTCTCGAAAAAAAATCCTTGCTTTATCTCTACAGTGCCCTATGTTATAGGCAGGTGTCCCTGCTTGGAGGCGTATTAGCATGAAGATGTGTTGATCCCCATGTGAACATTATTGTGCCGAGTTCAGATAATTAAAAGCGTAGCGCTACTGTTACCCTTACAGCGCCATAGGTGTGAGACCGAGTCTCCGTTCTGTTACCTATATCTGTGCAATATGTTGTTTGTACATGGTGCGAAATAATTCATGTACAATTTTGGCAGCTAGCATTCCGCTCAGAACACCCGGAAGGAACACAAACGTCTCCGCTGCATGTTAAAAACTGTGTATAATGAATTAAAATGTGGGTGCGAAGAGAAGAACACCTCAGACCTGCGGCAGCAGTAAGCACCAATTAATGCCAGGTTCAGTAGTCTCCCTTCGTTTTCTTCGGGACCTACCTAAGATGAAGGTTTTCAAGCAGGGTTTTCATTATGAAAGGAGGAGCCATGACTTTTTCGTCCTTTCAACGCCCCATGTAGGTGCCCGACAATCCTATGAGGGTGCTTGTGTGTGGCGCTATTCTTGTGTGTTGTGGGCAATATATGGTTAGTATATATCATAAGGATGTTCTTTCTGTTTAATTGCTTTAAGAGATCTGCTCTTGTTGATAAGTATTTAGAACAGAAGAGGACAGAAATCATGATCGATTGATTCCGCGGAACGCACATTGATGTTCGATTTGAGTTTTGTTTTGCATAATATTAATATTGTGGTAATGTTGTCATTTGATTTACTGTCACCGTATAAGTCTACCTTATTGGCTAGATTTTCTCTAATTCATCTCATTGTTTTAATTACTCATGTGTTTACAAATTGAATTTTATTTTAATGTTGTTGTTGTATTATTTTTTTTTACCGTTTTGATAAATTTGACATGGCTGTCAAGTATGTCATAATCTTACGCTTTCTGAGCTAAATTGTCAGTTTTTGTTTTGTCGCCGGGAATATCAACATTGGGTGGACATATACTAGATCTAGATACCATGTTCATCCAATAGTTGCAGAAAACATAAAATCAAACTTAAAGTGACTGATCTTGATTGTGGTACCTACAGACTACTGTAAGAATGACCGTCCTGTTCGGTATGATTTGGTCTAACAATCTAAACGCTAAACATGTAGCTGTGATTTCACTAAAATAAACAACAGGTGTCAGATAGTCTGATTGGTATGTTGATGTTGTTTTCAGTGTATTGTCACTATTAGACCGTCTCTGCCATTGACGTTTATACCCATCAGTATAGTTTTTAATATAACCAAAGTATTTGTCTTTTGTGGTTTTCATGGTTTTTGTATTGGATAGAGTTGGGTTAAGGCTTTTGATGAATGATTCAAGAATTTCGTAATTAATCTCGGGTTTACTAGAAGCCAGAACGGTAGGAGGATTTCAATTTTTAATATGTATTAATTTCGTCTTGGTCAAACTCCTTAAATAAATTAATAAAAAAATTGTTGTTTTTTTTATTCATCTCTATAAACTTAATTCTTGGCTCCGGTTATCAATTTATTAGGTAGAACATTTGGTTTCCGTCCTAACCCAATGTTTCAGAATCTGTTTTCGGAGTTTAAGAGGTTTCATTCACCCAATGGGTTAATAATCTGAAGATGTGTTTTTATTGTTCATCAAGTTAATAGCACCTTTTGAATATAAAATTAGAGTTAAACTTGGTAGAGCCAAGCAATTAATTAAGCTGCATTTTACAGCCGTTTCGTCCGTATTGCCATTCTAGAACCCGTTAGTGATGCTAAAGGCCTGAACAATAAAAGTCTTTGCGGCTACTGAAGAAAATGAAACGTGATCGAAAGAGAAGTCGAAATGCAATTGAGTTTACAATTAAAAAAAATGCCGAATATCTAATAATATAAGGACAAATTGTACATGTATATATGCTTAATTGTACATGTATATATGCTAAAATGTACATGTATATGTGCTAAATTGTAAGTTTATATATGCTAAATTGTACATGAATATATGCTAAATAATACATGTATATATGCTAAAATGTACATGTATATATGCTAAAATGTACATGTATATATACTACATTGTACGTGTATGTATGCTAAATTTGACGTGTATATATTTTGAACCGTGTCATTACGAGATTGATATGTAGGTTATGGCAAACCTCGTGAACTAAAAGTTCACTAGCAGTTTCTACTACTTGAATTTCGAGAATTGTTAAAAAACACAGAAGTAAATAACACACGTTAATGCAATTTCAATGTCAGTGATGCTGAGGACTGAGAAAA